AAAGGGATTCCCTTGAGTTGGACCTTTCCTGAATGCTTTTCCCCACTGGAGAAGTGATCCAGGCTGCAGTGGAGAATCCCCTCTTCCCCCAAGCTGGCCGTTTGGGCATGGCAGACCCATCCAGCGAGTACCCCAGAGCCTTGGTCCTCTTGAGTTATCCTGAAGTGGGTTTAGTGATGGTGGGGTTGCTGATTTATTTTTTTCTTTTTTTTAACCTGCCCTTTATATTCTTTTGCTCTCCTCCAGAGTTTTGTTTGGTACTAAACCCCTCCAGGTGGGAAACCAGACTGTAGATGAAAGTCACACTCATCCAGAGTTTTAAAACCATGCAGTTGCAGAAAAGATTGAGATGAGAATAGCACGACCCACGGGATGGCAAAACAGCCTGCTACCTGTTTGCTGCCATAAGAACTTCCGCGGTCACATAAAATTTTAATAACTCTCCCTTATTTCCTTTTTTCTGTTGTAGCCATAGGCTTGCATACATATTCATATGCATGTATATCTATACGCATACACGCAGAGAGACACACACATATATACGTGTATATATACATATATATATGTACACACACATCACCCAAATGAATTGGTTAGCATCGGGCAGAGAGGCGTTTGCCATTAATCTGGGAACAAACCGCTAACCTCGGTGACTGGTATTTTAGCTTTTCTTTTCTCGCTTCTCTCAGTGTGGGGAGAGCAGTAAAGCTTGTGTGGACTGATTGTGAGGGGCTCTGCTGGAATTTGGCAGGCCAGGGGCTTGGAGAGAAGCCCCATGCTGACTCCTATTCAGCGGGCCAGTTTTCTGCGAGCTTTGGAAGTTTCACTCAGCCGTGCACTCAATGGCTTCACAAAGCTGATTACAAGCTTCAGCGCATTCCTGAAGGAGCCAAAAGCGACGCAGGTGCAAACGAGCCGAGGGAGCCCCTTATCCCGGTGACAGAATGGGACAAGCTGGGAAAGGCTTGGACCACACAAATCCAAGGCTCACCAGGCAGCAGCAAGCCTGCCTTGGGAACCGGGGATCATTATCCGCTCCATTCAGCGGGGACCCAGCGGCGGCAGCGGCACGTCCCAGGGCTGGGGACGGGCTTCCCGTCCCGGCTGGGAGCGGAGCCTTTCACCTGGCATCCCCTCGCCGCTGCCACGAACCTGAGGTGTCCCTGCTCCCCCGAAATGATTCGTACCCCAGCATCTGTTAGTCTTCAGCCTGCCGCCTGAAGCACCTCGCCGTTTTCCCCCCTATTGCCCCATCCCACAAGAAATCCCCCCCTCTCCTGTTCCTCTTCCCTTCCCCAGAAAAACACGGTGCTAAGGGTCTGTGTGGAAACCCAGCACAGAAAACGCACTGATCCGAAATGGCAGGTTTCCTCCCAGCTGAAGTTCTCTAACAAACACCCTATTTTCAAGACTGCCTTTAATTCCAGAGAGAAGCCAGCCGAGAGTGCACCCTCCTCCCCTCCCAATTACTCGAGCCACCCGATTCCCACAGAAACCTCCCGCAACACAAACGCCTGGTGAATGCTTTCTGACTCGGTGAAAGCAGCCCACGGTCCCTGCCCTTCCTGCCTCCCCGGCGAGAGAGGGGGTGGCGAGAAGTCCAGGGGGGTCTTGGTGCCGGAGAGGGTGAAGCGTGATTACTTTTAATTAGGGGTTCTCGGAAGGAGTTCCTCTCGCCTCCGCTCCCTCGCCCCTTTTCCTCGCTCTCAGCCCTTCCCCTCCAGCCGAGAGAAGAAGCTGCACTTTACTTCCCTGAAAAATTAATTACGGCCCTTCCCCGCTATCAATTACGGAGGAATCAGCCTTTCCTAGGGAGAGGAGAAATAATCAAAAGGCTTTTCAGTCTTGCTGGGGGGGGGAACGACCTCGGACCGCCGAACACATAATGCGGCAAGGGGACTGCCGCGCTTCTGGCCGCTGGTTTCATATGCAAATGGCGATCTGCCTCCAAGTTATCATTATGGTTTTATTTTTTTTTTCCCCCCCCCCTTAATGTTATTATTGTGTCGGGGTTTTAACAGCCACATGCTCTACCCTTCCCTTTCAGCGAGGTTTCCTTGGCGATCAGCCACGCCGCTTCTTCCCCGGGCGCATTGCCCCCGCCCCAGCGCCTGCCCCACGTCCATGTTAATTTCGCCCTATGGAAATGAAAGCGGCCCGGCCGGGCAGCTGATATTAAAGCGATCCCCCGGGCCCGGGGCTCGCCCTCCCCGCTCCTCGCAGCGGCCGTGCCTCGGCAGGAGCCGAGAGCCCCCCGGCCCCGAGCCCAGCGCCCCTTTCGTGCCGGGAGATGCTGGGGAGGCAGCGCTGCGTTTGCTTGTGCGGAGCGCACCGCCTGCGAGCGGTTGCCTTGGCAGAAAGGTGCAGCTTTCTGATGTTCTTTTGTCTGATAACTAATTCAAGTTAATGCGATCTTTATGTAAAGCTAACAGCGGATAATTGTCTATTTTCTCGCCAACAATCTCCATCACAATCACTTATCTGGAAACCTGCGGTTGTATTAATCGTTATATTCCCCGAGATAAGCGTCTCTCGAATTATCAGTAAACACTGGAGGGAAATTAAACAAACTCCAGAGCCACTTAAGTTTCCTCTGCAGCTTTTAGCCGCCTTCCCGGGAGGAGGGGGAGTGGGAACGACGACACCCCTCAAACCAACCTGGGACCGGAACACGACATGAAAAGGGCGTGTGTGAAACAGGGAAGAAGGGCCTGAAATTTTGGCTAATTGTGAAGAGCCGAGTCGTGCTCCATTCGCGGTGTCCGTGCGGCAGGCACACACGCACCTTTACCCCGCTCGTCGGGCGGCGCTCGGTCCTCAGCGGCCCCTGGGACCTCGCTGGCAATTCTTGTAAATCATGTAATTAAGTGTATTAGTCTCTGCAGGGGAAAGACGAGCAGCTAGGAGAGAATACACCCAGAGATTAAGCAGGAGTCGCATGGCTTTAGGTCTACACGAGGAGAAGAGAGTTCTTCCGAGAATCACCGTATTAGCACAGTTATTGGCAATATTTATACCAGAGAGTGAGCTGAACCCCAGGAGGGTAACAGAGAGTGCGAAACTACTGTGGGAATATGTTTTACTGCTCAGATCCCATCAGTTCCGTTAGGTGTAAAGAAATTACAGCAAATTGTGCTGGAAAACCCTCCAGGGAAAACATACTCGTACGACAAAGATTTTGTCTTTTTGAGACGAAGTCAAAACATCGGTGTCAAATGATACTAATTTTAGGGGCGCTGCAGTGTATGTGTGTTTACTCGAGCACCTGGGTGTGGGGGGGAAAGAAAAAAAGAAAAAAAGCAGCCCAAACCATGACATTTCAGTCGTATGTGCCAGCAGAGAGTTTACAACTTCTTCGGGAAGAGCGAGGCGTCCTGGAGCCTCCCTGGCTGCCGGAGCCCGGGCTGAGGCCACCGCTGTCCCTCTGCAGGGCTGGCTGACAGCGCTCTGCGCCTTCCTGGCAGCGTTTGCCACGTCCAAAGCGCTTTATGAACCTTAGCTGAGTAATCCTGGAGTTTAGTTACTGAGCAGGCATCAAAGAATTTATAAACTGGCCTCTATGATGAGCTTTATTTATACTGGACTTAAGTTTTTTTAAAAAAAAATTTTTAATTTTATTTTTTTTGGTAAGCAAACTTTTATTCACGAAGATTTCCAGTGGCACGATTCACGTCCTAGCCTGAGGCAGCTGAGGTGTGAGATGGAAAAGAAAAAAAAGCAACAAACCCGAACAAAAAAACAAAACAGAAAAAAAAAATCCCCCCAACACAAACAAACACAAACAAAATGAAACACCTTAACGAAACAACACACAAACCTCCCATTACTTATTTGTGGGTCATGGCAGCGCATTTCCAAATATGATCGGTTTATTGAAAAAAACAAAAACCAAACCTGCCTAAATTCTCGAATTATTTCACTTGAGTTAAAAGTTCCCAGGGTAGCTTTTTCTTATGGCATTTGAGAATCATCCCACTTCATCTCTCACCTGAATCTTGTCATCTGTGCCATCTTGAAGTGATCTGTGAACAATGCTGGTCCCTTGGACAGCCCAAGCTGGTCAATCAGGCAGAACAGACTATGCAAATGGAATGGAAAGGCGAAGCGATGAAGAACAGTGGCCCCCATTGTCTTGGGCATTTCAAAGCGAAGCCCAGCTGCAGCAGGCGTTGCTGTCTCGGACCCTTGGTTGCTACTCTAATGTCATCATTGCAAAACATCACATTTTGAAAACTCTACAGTCTGAATGCATGATCAGCCCTCCACAAAGATTTCACTTTGCCGTGACATCTTTCGAAGTCACCAAAAAAAATAAAAAAAAAAAGGAAAAAGAAAAAAAGAAAAAGAAAAAAAAAAGAAGTGTGTGGGGATAAAAAAAAAAAAAGAAAGGAGAAAAAGTACCACCACAACTGGGGACTGGGATCCCAGCCACACTGCCCGCTCACATCCCGCAATTCCTCTCCCTCCACTCCTAACTGCGGTGCAGCTGACGCCTTTTGCAACCTTTTGGTGAACGCCTCGCCTTTCGTGTTGTTTTTAGCGTCGAATCGGATGATGATTTAAGTTGCATTTAACTTATTTCTGTCGGGTCTCTTTCAGGCACTCTAATGAGCTAACGCCGGGGAAACGCCGCTGTGAGCAGGCAGTGAACTATTTATTGACAATCGCTTCCAAAACTTCAGATACGAGCGGCTTTAAAAGAGTCAGGCAATGTCTTTGAGAGTGATTAAACCAGCAAGTAGGCTGGGTATTTACGGGTCCGTTAGGAGTTTTTGTGAATACTCTGTTTCTTAATACACTCATGCAGTTGTCGCTCCTGAATATTGCTGCCAGCCCTGCTGCAGCTTCGCCTCCTGGTCCCAAAGTTAGCTCTGCCATGAGAAACGAACTCTCAGTTCAGTAAAGCTGGGGGCTGTCAGATGATTAATGTGCATTTTCAGGAGACTAAATCATTGCTCGTGTTTCACTTATTGTTCCTTTTCATTTTCTTTTGTCTGCAGGTGACATTTGTGATCACCATGTGGTGAGCAGAGGAAACTCCCCTCTCTTCCACCCTCTTGTCAGGAGCCTGTGCTCAAGGAGCAAAGGTCTGTGCCATCGATAACTAAAAAATGCTGGGGGTTGTGTTTCCTCTTCCCAATGTCTCATCGGGCAGGAGTTTAGTGAATCCAAAGCTTCTTCTCCAAGGACGGTCTTACTCCAGTGAGTCTACAGAGATGGATACAGCCCAGCCTCTGCCTACAGCACAGACGCAGCGGTCACACATGGGAATGGCCACCCTTCAGTGCAGACTGCTTAGTGTTCATGTGGGAGCAGAGAAGAAAGTTCCATTGGTCTAGAGAGCTGAGTTAAGAAGCTCTTAAACACATTCTTTGCAAGAATGAGTCAGTGCTTCTTTCCTATCCCTTAAACTGTCTCTTTCCCTTTAGCTTGGTTAATGCATTCTGTAACAACATCACATAAATTACAAAGGAGGCAAAGGATGGAATTATTTAAAACTAAATAATTATTCACTGTGACTTGATTGGCTTCCCAAAATTAAGGTTGCCTCTTTCAGAATGCAGTGGTGGATAAGAAGGAAAAGATGAGAGTAACAAAGAAAACCAAAGAAAAATGAAAATGAATGGGGAAAATAAATTAATGTGTAGGTACTCTTTCATCTTCTGGCTGGAAGATCTTCCCCCTCATCAGAGAGAGTTTTCCAAGGACAACTACTATGCTAGGAGAAAGCCTGTTTTCAGCTGCATCAGCTCTGGTCAAATGAGTAATGCAAGAACTCATTCTGCTACGTGCCTCATACAAATATCTCAGTAGAGATGATGTACACTGTAAGCACACTTCTCTGCCAGATATTTGTGCATTTAGCTCCTCTAAACTTTGTGTCTTAGACAAATGGATCCCCCAAAGTCTATGTTCTAGGAATTGTTGGACATGCTTTAGGTCTGGGTAAGTCACTGATTTGAATGCAGAAACCCAGAGAAAAAACAATGTTTTGCAGCCAGTGCCTACACAGAAGACAACAGCAATGCACATGGCCAGGGGCCAAATGCCCCATTACTGTAAGTGGGTGCATCTTCATCTGGCTCTCTGCTGAAGCACTTCCAGAAAGATATGAAGGAGGAACTCCAAAGTGAAGCAGCTTCTTGTCATGCCTCCCATGTAGGTGTTGCCACAGGGCTGTGCAGAGACTCCTTGTGGCAGCCACAATTCCCAGCTGATGGTGAGATGGATGATGTCCTCAGGGCACAGACTAAGGGAAATGGGGGCCCACAAGGTCACATCAACACTCCAGACCCAGACACATCCTTCTCCCACAAGAGCCCTATTCTAAGCTCATTCTGCCAGCTGGACCTTTCCCCTTCTCAGCAGCCTGCCAGCCTCACACACCAGAGATGAGAGCACAAAGGTGGGTTAGCCACCTCCACTCGGGCTTTTTGTCCCCTCATGGAATCAAACGAGTTCCCATCACCCCAGGTTAATGACCTTGGCTCTGCTGGGAGGGAAATGGCCCCAGATCTGCCCTCTGGGCAGGGTGCTCAGATAAGCAGGGGCAACTTCCTTCCCCAGTGGTCCAACGTTGGGCGAGGGGAACTAATTGGAAACAAGAGCAGCTCCTTCCTTTATAAGCTGAACTTTGCTTTTCTTTCACAGCTGGAACTTCTGCCTCATCCCTCTACCAGCCCTAGTCCTGGTACATTCAGCCACAGATATCTCTGCTTGTGCACTGGCTGTATTTTTCATGTTTATTATCATCCAGCCCAGTGTAGTGCCATCTGGCACACATACACACGGGGAAGAAAACCATATATTCAGCAAATGGAGCATACAGGGTTTAGATTTTGTTTTGTCTTGTTTTTCTTATTCTTCCAGTTTCTCTTAAAATTATGTGGAAAAGATAGACAAGCAATTCTCCATCATGAAATGATCAAAACTCCCAGTTATGACATTAAAAATTACTAGAGAGCAGAGATGGTAGGAAGAGACAAGAACCCCTTTTTGCTGAAATACATTTGTCTTTTCCTCCTTCTATTTCATTTCACCTTGTGCTCAGATAAGGAACAGAATTACTTTAAAATGTTTGCATTAATTATTTTTATTCAGGATTTGTTCTAGCTTTTCAAAGAATTATTTTACTGTAAGACATGTGTGAGTGATATATAACTAGTGACACTCCTCCAAAGAAGTGGAAAACTGTGAGACATCCTGTAGTCTTCAAAACCTTTGCTGTTTTTTATTGCCACAATAAAATCGATTCAAAATACTTCTTCAAAGTAGATATAAAAAGCCACACAGACTATTTTCAGTGAAGCTAGCACCTATTGCATTACTACTTTAATTCAAAGACAGTTTTGTAACAGAGTTGTACAATCAAAGCATATTTCTTCCCTGAAAATTCATGCACTGTAAGATTTTCAGTTGAGTTGCCCATGGAAAAAGTACTACACCATGTATTGTATTACTTGATTCATTTTCTTTCAAATTTTACTTTAATTTAAACTTTGGCTGATTACTGTATTGTGATCTAAGTCAGCAATCTCAAACTAACTATCAACATCACTTTTGAAGAAACTCTACAACTGCATGATAACGATGAAATTTAAGTTTCTGTCAGTTATTGTGTAATGTCTACACCATGGAAAAGCAAACCTTCAGGTATTTTAATTCCATTTGCATGTATTATATTTGCATTGTGTTCTTCGTACTTCATTTTTTGAAGTACAATTCTGAGCTATAAAAATACTACTAAAAACCTGTTTGGGGTATTTATTTATTTTCTTTTTCTAAATTGAATTATAGCTTTGATGAAAATGTGAAAGGAAATAGTTTTGGGGAAAAAATTGTCAGCTACTCAGATTTCTTTGGAAAAACAACTTGTTTTACAGGTACTGATGCAGACTGATAGAATTGTTCTCTGATCCTACTAAAACAGAGAAACACGTTTGAGTGCAATTAATATAGTATCTGTATACTGAGTTTGATTCTGGTCTCACATCTGTTTAAAATTCACAATATCTCTTGCTCAAGCCTTGATCCAACTCTGAGTGATGTTACTCACAATGACTTCTGCTGGCCTGTGGTTCAAGGGCTTTTACACCACCGTGCCTTTGCCACTAGGCTGAAAAAGGTTATTTTTGATACTTCTTTCTTTTCCTGTGAAACCAGATTAACTTGGAAAGAATTAAAAATGTTTGAACAGAGATGCTCAAGGTTACTTTTTATGGCAATACATCTAATTTAAAATATTTCCTACAAACAAATTAAATTTGATAGCAACACAAAAATTTGCATTTTCTAGTATATTTCCACTGGTTTTTGATTTTTTGGTGTATCTCAGTTTTATATGTATGCATTCATTGCCTTATTTCTAGCAACACAGTACTGAAATTTTTATGTAAATAACAGGTGAAGAAAGAATCTATTGTAATATGCAATGTATAACAAATTCATTAAAACAAGCAAAATAATTTAAATAATAGTTATTCAATAAATGTCAGGAAAGCAATCCCATACCTTCACTGATCAAGGCTTCTGTGTAACTCGGAAGAAAGTGATGAAGGAGGACGTTTTGTGCAGTAATATATGGAGCTTGTTCCAGTTGTTAAGCACATAAATAGAAATTCAGCAAGTCTTACCAAAAAGGGTCATAAACAACCACAACTGAAAACTCAGATCTCTCTCTGTTTTGTACTGCAACATGTACAGGGGGGGAAAAAAAAGAAGATTTTTTTTTTTTTTGATGATGACTCAGATTATCTCCTATTAAACTCAGCTTTAGATTCTGAGAGCTGCAAAGCAAAACAACCAGAACTTTGCTGCTCACTGTTAGAGGTTGTTTTACTTACAGACTGGTAGAGTTCCTTTTAAGTATCTCCAGCAAAAGAGGTACAAACGAGAAATCAAAGTGGAAGAAGCAGTCAGAATGTTACAAATATAATGCAGAATCCTTTTGTGTTGGTAAGCATCAATAGGCAATAAAGCAAATTTGAACCCACTCATCAGTTTTCTTCATCCTGTATGCACTGAACAGGTTAAATTATAAAAAAAAAAATCTTGTCATAAATGAACCTAGTTTACAGAATTTACAATGTTTGTGTAAATATTATGGATTTGAATATCCAGGATCAATGTGGCTTGGTCAAACAATCTATAATCTATAAAATTTTATCAGTGATCAGAAAGATCTTTCAAGGCATTGAAGATATCTTTTTCCACTTACATGGACTGAAATGGCTGAGCAGGCTTACCTCATTAAACTCCATCTGGGAAGACAGCCTGTGGGGAAAGAAACTCCACCATGATTAAACATCCCATCTAGTTTACTGCATTAGTGTTAGGTCATCATAAATGGTAGGTAAGTGAAACAATGTTTCTTTTCAGTGGTAAGTGCTTCTAAAATGTTGTGGAATTTAAATGCTTGGAAATGTTTCCCAGCTCGCCTTCTTTCAGAATTAACTTTAGCCCTTGATAACCTTATTTATTCCACTAACTCTCCTAAAGTGGCCTTCAAAATGCATAAGCCTGGATTTATTGTAAACTTCACTATTGCAGCTCCACTGTGGTTGTTCTGATCATTTCAGGACAAATGAGACAGTTTAAACTAATGACTGAACATCTATTGTGTTAGTGCTGTTTCCTGGTTATCTGGTTATTATTTATTTCCTGCTTGTTCTATTGTTTCTTGCCTCATGAAGACTCCTGTTTGCTCTGATAAAATTCCTTATAACATGGCAGCAACACCAAGGGTTGGGTAAAAGGGCTCCTCTGAATGATAACACAAAGAGCATATAAAGAATCCATCACAGCAGTCAGTAGTATAATGTAATTTATTTTCAGTAGACATCCTCTTCACCACTGGATTAGTCACTTTGTTAATGGAAAATGACCCATAACTCATAGGAGTGGGAACTTTATGTGCAGGCCTTGCTTCTACCAGAGCAGATGAACTGCAGTCACTTAATATTGTGGCTCCTTCCGATCTTTCTTGTGCATTCCATACATCGTGGGAGTTTCAGGTGGGTGAAAACTGCAGGACACAGTGGTAAAACAGACTTACATGGGATTTATATTTTGTATTGCACCAGAAAGCATTAATAAAAGATGCCTCTTGCATCTAGAACTCATCATGATCCCATAAGCAGACAATGAACCAGTTTTAAAAAGCAAGCTTTGTACGTGCTAATACATTCAAGATGCCATTTTCTACCACTACATACCAGGCATCTTCAGAATTCATTGTTCAGATTTCACTTCAGCATGACTTTAAACAGAATTCATCAGGTCATTCTCTGTAGGAATGCAGCTTGTCTCACTGTGCTAGGAGAAGTTGACACTGAAATCTAAAAATTTCAGACTTTGTCAGTAAAATGAGAGTTTACAGTTTCAGTAGAATCTAAGAGCTCCTGAGATTTAGCTTTTAAATATATTTTTACCCCTTTCTTTAATTTCACATGTAGAAAACATATGTTTACAGGGCGCTGTGCCATCCCACCTTAAAAGGGAGGGGAGAACCCAAGAATCATAGATGCCTGTGGTCAAAAACAATCTACAGAAGTCAGAGGGTCTGCAAACACTTACCAAATTTTTTTAGTAAATTATATATATGGCCTGGAAATCAATATATGTCTCTTACCCTTTCTGCATAAACACACAGTGGTGCATTTTGAATAATGGATAGGGTCAAAGGAAAGAGAAGGGGACTAAGAGAAAGAGAGAGAGAGAGAGAGAGGGAGAGAGAGAGGGAGAAAGAAGGGAAGAAAGGAGAAAAGAAAGATCACAAGTCCTGGCTCCAGTGTTGATCCAGCTGGTGGGCTGCCCAGGGTCCTGAGGGGATGCTGCCCAGGCATAACTGGGCCACCTTTTACAGACAAGCTTTTTCAACCTGGAGCTGAGTTTCTCACTTTCTACACAAATTAGTTACATGGGTGTTTCTTTCTTCTAGACCTTTCTGGAAATAAGTAGGAGGACTTTGGGGTCTTTTGTGGCCTTGATCCTCCCCTACTGGGTTGGTGTTTGGTCAACAGGCCATGCCTGCTTCTCAACCTCATTGCACTTGCTTGTTGTGCTCCTCCTCAGGAGTCAGAACAAGGGTGTTTGTCCACAAAAATGCTGCCCTGCCATCATATGGTTAATTTCTCCAGCCACATCCTGTTCCTTCACACAGTCTGCTCTTACCAACAGTCCTTGCTTGGCTCCACAGCTATCCAGCTGTCAGCGCTTGAGACATTCACATTGGCCCCTTATCTTCTGGGCTTTTACAGGCCCAGAAATTCGAGTCCATGGCTCTATTAAAAACTCAGATTTCAGAACCACATTCCACCAAAAGTATGTTACATTCAAAATTTTAAGTTTGTGGACTAACCCATGTGATCAGGGAAGCAGAAATGGAGGCAGCAGTACCTTCTCTGTCTCATCTCGTAAAAAACAATGACAAGATTTCCATACCCAGCATTATTTTTAATATATAAAAGGAAGTTCTGGGACTCAGTTTGTACACTTTTAATACATGTAAACTAAGTAATTTGCTATAGACAAAACAACTTTTAGCTTTGATGATAGGACTGAATCTCTTCTTCTGAAACACCCAAGTTTATCCCTAACTTTATACCTGAGAGATCACAGAAAATTTATCTTCCTGACACAATAAACCCCATGGTAATTAGAAGGATTCTAAGCCTTCATAAATATTCTAAACCTTTACCCACTTACACATGAGGCCAGCAAAAAAAATATGTTTCTGTTTTCCTCAAATCCTCAGTAAGACCTTGGACCAACTCCCACTGAAGTCAATTACACTCTTTTCTGTAGATCTGAAATCAGGATGTACCTGCAATTCCCTTCTCTTGCTCTGCATCAGTGACAGTTTTGCACAAAACCTTGGACAAAATGTTGCCAACGGCTCTCTGGATAGAATTTAACTGAACAGCAAAATGGAATGATTGGCCCACTGCTGTGTTTTGCATTTCATTTTATTCATGTAGCAAATATTATAGGTGTTAGGTCTATGAATACCCCTGATCTTTCAGAATTAATTCTGCTTTCAAATCAAAAACCTGTGGTTAAAATGAAGTGTACTTTAGAACCATGTTTTATTTGATGAGTTTTCAAGGATGGAAAATTCACTCCAACTTTCAGTAGACAATTTCAGTGGTTAATTGCCATCACCATTGACCATTTTGACCCTTCTTTAAGCAAAAATTTTTCAACTTCCAGGTGCACTGTAATATGAATACCTTTTCCTGATAAACTGAAGAGTCATCTACAGCCATCTTTTTGCCCCCACAGAGACACAACATGGCCAAGTCATCCTTTAATATGGGCTTTAATATGGTTTATCTAGGCTGAATGCCTTCCCTTTCTTCTACGTACTCTGCCAACAATGCTTTCCAGGCTGTTAACCATGCTACATGTTCTCCTCTGAAATCTTTCCAACATCCTCTAGGTTCATTGCCAGATGTTCTCGAGCAGCTGTGCAGAATTAAGACCATTTTAAACCCGGTGCAGTGGCTTGTGTTAAGTTCTTATTAGAATTATGTTAGTCATAAAGGCATTAGAAATAACTAGCAACAACTGTAAAAAACCAAAAAGTGACATACCGGCTGTTACTTCAGGGCTAGAGCTTTAGGTACAGGGCCTTAATGGAGAAATAAAAGGTGTTTGTGCCTTCAGCACTTCGGAGACATCAACCTCTTCATTGGGGTTTCTAAATAGAGGTGTAGTGGCCTGAAAAGAGGTGCCATTTCAAAATCTAGAAACCTTCTCCTTTTGTTTATTTGCAAGTATGCTTTAGTATCCTGAAATTTTCCATCTTGCTTTGGGTGAGGGCAAATGTTCTTCATCATTCTCTTGGAAGGGTGCCTAGTGTTTATGTCCAACGTTAAGATCACTGCAGCAGCATGGTTGGAGGACTGATATTGTGCAAAGAAATGATACACCCAAGTTTGTAAAGCACTTTGCTTGGAGGTAAAAGCAACACATTAAAATTAATCGAATTTTCATTTGCTTTGTGTAATTATACTGTTATAATTCATACATGCTGTAAAATCTCCGCTGCAACTGTTTCATGAAATTGTTGCAGTAACATGTAAAGAGTCTTATAAAACTTACTTTAGGTATTTCAGCCTGTGATAGTTGACAGTTGGTAGACTGGTCTATGGCACAGACAATTCATACAATGAATGAGCAATTGGCATTTCTCAGCTAATCATGTTTGTATTTTTTGAAGCTGCTTAATAAAAAAAAAATGGGGGAATGACATATTCTGTTTTGCTGAAATATATTTTAC